CTGTCTTCAAAGTCCGCAAAGTAAAATACAGTAACTATTGGACTTGAAAAAATACACTTTTTTTACAATTCTGTGTCATATGTACGCTATTTTCGTCATTGCTCGATATTAAAGTTTTCCTTGCAGGTTGGAAGGTGAAGATACTAATCAAAAACTTCAAGCGATGACCACTGATGAGCTCCAGCAACAGTATGAGGACGATTCGTGGGAGTTAGATCGTAAATGGTGTGTCAACCGAGATGCCCCGAGGAATAGGCACATCTAAATAAACTCATGGCAAGGCTGGTCACAGTGGAATATCAGCTGCACCAACGGGTGGAAGCGGATAATTGTATTAAATTAAACCTAATTCCTTAGTTTTAAGATTATTTGTATGCTGCATAAGTTTAGATTTTTGTAAATAATAATAATAATAAAACAAACAAGCTAACTAACTAATAATTATAATATTAGCGGATTTGGAAGTCTAATGAAAATAGTCAGTGCGTGATTAATTAGATTAGCGATAAAAACGGGAATTTGACCCCCTGTCCATATAACTAGAGTTTAGACAACTGAAGATGTACGGGCCGGATTTTTACCCCGGCCCGTACATCTTTAGTAAAAAAACACAATAAATAAAAAACACACTTGGCACCACATTAGGTACTCATGCTCCAACAAAAATGATGTAAACACAACACTACAGAAAATAAAGCAAGGGCAACGGCAGAAAGTGAAGCCCTTTTAAATTCTGTCAAACAAATTGAAATACCGTAAGGTTTTCGTGACAACATTTTAAATAAATTTAAAGGAAACGACGAAATCCCTTACATATGTAGGACGGACGCTCTTATCATCAAGTTTGGTGTATTTAGCTTTGATAAATATGGAACCACGCAGACGAACGAACCACAAAACTGAGAGACCAACCCTAGAGCAAGATCCCTCCTTAGCACTTAAACTCGGCCATCACTTAAAAGTGTGCCAATCTGTTAAGAGGCACAGCGTTGATGCAAAAGGATAGGAAGCTGGACCAAGAAATGCAATCATTCATCCAATTAATGGATTTAGAATGGACTGCAAAAATATCTTCAGCCCTTGAAAGAAGGAAATTCAATCTAGAACAATTGTTGCCGATAACAGAGGACCTGGTTTCTCTAAACCGACATATCCAAGACGTCATGAAATCGTGCAGCACAGAATTAGAGTTAAAACGAGGATCCCTGTGTAGACACGTACCATGCACTAGCTTGCGCAACATTAACGCGGTTAATGCTTTTTAATAAAAGGTGATCGGGTGAAGCTGCCAAACTCACTACCGAACAGTACAAAATAAATCCAGAATGGACGAGGACTGAGGAACTAAAAGGAACTTTAACTCCAATTGAAGTAAAACATACCAACAGATTAAAACTCATTTGATTTCCACTTGATTTTATCGTTGATTTCAGTGAAGTTCCCTGGAGTATTCAGGTGAGACAGGAGGACCTGAGTTCTGAGGATATCATCCACACACATAGGAACAACAAGATGCAGGGGAGACAGGGTGAGGTGTCCGTAAACACAGATTTGACTGAGGTCAAAGCTGAGCTTGAGAAACAATCTGAGGAAGTCGTGGAAAGGGCAGACATGATAGCAGAGAGTGAGCGGCCAAAGAGAAAGCGGTTGAAGGGCGAGTTGGATCTGCTGCATCAAAGGGTGGATTTACTGCAGCATGAGGCAGACCAGATAGCCGAGAATGAGCAACTCAAGGAAAAGTTGGGTAAGGACGACTTGAATCGGTTGCAGACTCAGGGCCCCGGAGGAGAACTATGGGCTTGCCACATTCATCTTGGCGGAGAGGAACTTTACACCTTCCCAGTCAGCACATAATGTAAAAATAACGTTATTTTCAAGTGAAAAAAGTGAAAATGTAAAAAGTGAAAAATATCATATTTTTTCACGTAAAAATAACGTGAAAAATGTAAAAAAGTAAAATATAATAACCATTTTCACGTTATTTTTACATTTTAGTTTTACTTTTTTTTAACTTGTTCAATAAGAAAAAAAAACTGTTCCTATTGTTTCCCCACGAAATTCGCATGAATTTGAAAAGTGTAATCGGTGCCCCTCCAAAATTTAAAGTTGAACTGGGTTAAATTTTGTCATCCTTTATTTTCATGCATGCTAAGTTTCATAAAATTTATTGATGAATTAATAATATTATATTTAGTTAAAAAATTAAAAAAGTCGAAATCTGGGTTACACGAGTTTTTTAGTAAAAACATGATTATCTTTTTAGCACCCCATAAACCCATTTATGTGATGCATGATGCAGACGTAATTTATTTATTTGTTGTATGCTACTTAACTTTTATTAATATATGTATTTTTACAACATTTTGTAATTTTTTTGTGACGTAGCATGTAATTGTTGAATGGTCAATAAATTCTTGATTCTTGACCTATATTAATTATTTCATGATTTAAATCCAGAAAATATTAAATAAAATATAACCATCTAGTAATTTTAAAAATGGGTTTATGGGGTGATAAAGAGATAATAATGTCTTTACAAAAAAAAAATCGTGTAACTCTGATTTCCACCATTTTTAGTGTTTTACAAAAATTACAAGGTACATTTACATAAATGGCTACACAGTCAGCAATGGTCTACATTAAAGAATAGTCCAGAACAAAAAATTCACAAGTGTTATAAATAGGGCTGTTGGCCAAAAAGTGTTAAATCGGTCAATATTGGATACGTTAATATTTTTTATAAAATGGTGAAAACGAATCGATTCACATCTTAGTTTTCTTGGAGGTGTTAGACTACTTATTATCATTCAAATATAGTATAATTTCCCGCTCCACAACACCACGGCCGACGTGAACGCGGACTACGGCCATTAGAAGAACTATCTACAGATGCACTGCCAGCTTGCAACTCGTGTCATCGATCGATAGTCTATCGATCCTTAAAACTTTGACCAATCGCTAAAAAATCGATTATATCGATGTTACTGTTACCGATTTGACTTAAAGTTAATATTGTTAAACTAAACATTTTAAATTCGGAAAATAAGTATAATGGTTTACACTAAAACTTCAAAAACATACTGCGAGTATTAATAAAGAATAAAGCCCTTGGCAAAAAGCATGTATTGTATTTCTCCACTAGTCCACTCCACTCCAAAAGTCAACCATAACAAGAAGTATCGACCAAAAAAGTTCGATATTTGCAAAACATCGATGCTCGATAGTAACTACTGTCACAATACTCAAATCATTCGCAGAATCGCAGATCGCCATTTTGTTTTGATTGAGTTGAATCTTGAATGTCTTCTTTGTTTATCGTTTCGTTATTCGTTACTGAGCGAGTTTTTGCTTAAACTTTAAATAGACAAACAAACAGTTCTGCAAATATTTAAATTAGTGTATATAGTAGATTTTTAGCCTATGATTAATTTTAGTTAAAAAATCCCACTCCACAGAAGAGCCATACACCTACCACCTCGTCCAATCTGCCAAAGGTAAGAAGTTTAATGAGGTACTGTATTTTGTAAATATTTACTAGGCCTATTCCGTGCAGCGTTAGTGCAAGAAATAAGAACTAACTTGATTGAGCCCTAACTAAAAAAACTCTTAAGTTTCGAATTTTTTGTGTTGGATTAAGAAATAGGCCTACTCAAAGAAATGTTAACTTCACTTTTGGCCGTTAATTAGGCTACAAATTACTTTGCTTCTTGTTTTTTGTTAGGCCTCTTAGGTCTAGAATTTATGTTTTTGTTTGCTTTGAGTTTAACTTATTTTTATACAGGCTAGCCTAGACCTAGGGCCTAGGCTAATTTACTGTATCGAAAATGCCTATTGCTAGGCCTACCTACATGTATGCTCAGTGGAAACAGAAGATTTTTAATTGGGTCAAAGAAAACTCTAGCCTCTTGAGTAAAAAAGTAGGCTACTATAACTTAAAAGCATCAACATAGCCTTATAAAAACCGGTAGACTAACTCTATGAAATAATTTAACTTGTGTCTTTGTGAGTTATTTGTCTACTTAGACTAGGGTTGCCACCTTAGGTCAGGAAAAAATCGGGACATTGCCCCCCTCCCTCCCGGATTAACATAGGCTTAAGTTAAATGCGGGCATAAGGAACCAAAATCGGGACTGTCCCGGCAGAATCGGGATGGGTGGCAACCCTGACTTAGACCTATGTTATAGCTTGGTAACTTGCATTAACTTATCCTTTTAACTTAAACTTAATAAGCTAAGTTAGTTTAGTTTGCTGGCACAAAGGTGTGTGAGGATTATGATGTTGGCTATAAGTTGCTGATTGTGTGTGGAAGTCCAATCAACTAGGTACGCTATATATAAGTTAACTTAAGTTATAAGATTTGCCATTCCTTGGAAAACAGGCTGGGTAATTCATGTGGTAAAATTGGAAATGTGTGTGTTTGTTGGACGAATGGAATCTTTTGTTTCATTGTTAAGGTAGTTAGTTGCTAGGTTGCAATTGACAAACCAAAGAAGACAAAGAAGTAGGCTCATTAAGTCTCTTCGCATGCCAAGGCCTCTTTGATGCACAACGTTTTTTGACTTGGCAACCAGATGATAGTGACAAGACAATCTGGAAAATATACAAAGCCAGAACCATTGGCAATAAAGTATATGGTGAGTATTTATCTTGTTCTGTAATAAACTCGGATTTATAATAGCCTAATGGTAAATTAACTGGAAAGGATAAAAAAAATCTGTAAATTTAAAATTCATTTCATACTATTCTAAGGAAATTAATAAGCAGTTGTTCAGTGCTTTGGGCATATTTAAACCAAATTTTTTGTGTATTTGTTTAGCCTTACTTTATTTCATACCGTTTAATTAAAAATCACAATTAACTAACCTTGGGTTGCACTAAACCTAATTACTCCTTAAAATAATGTTATTTTAATGGGAAATTGATTTTACAATTTCAAGGGAATATTTTGGCTTGGGCTCTCTGGCTTCCAAACAATTTATTATAAGACTAGTTCGTAGGTCTATAGTATGTCGTTTTAAAAATATTTTATGTCTTTTTTAGATGACCTACAGAAGGCTCGCGAGAAGTCAAACCAGGCTCTGATCAGGTCAGACATCGAGACTGATCTGGAGGGAAAGAAAAGAAAAATTACCAAGAACCGAAAATATCTTGATACTGACAACGATGATTCATCCTCTTCCGATATTTGCCTGACAGAGAAAGAGGAAACGCCCAAGAAATTTAAGAAGGCATTGTGGTCGTCAAAAGTGACATCATCCCCCCTAAAAATTCCTGGTGATTTGCCAGATTTTGACACACTTCGGCGTAGCCCAAGAAAACCGCCAAAAAATGTAGTCCCTTCTTCGTCAGTGCCAGTGCCAAAAACAGGCTCTAAAGCCACCACTAAACCTACTCCAAAAGATGCAGGCCTACCGTCAACTTTCCCAGGAATGAGGCCATCAACTTCTTCGTCAGCCCAAAAAACAGGCACCAAAACTGGCAGTAAGTAGTTTATAATCAATTTTTTCTAATAGGCCATGAAAAAAACAGTCATATTCACAGAGGCATTAGAAAGGTGGAATAGGTGCAGCCACACAGGGTGAGCTAGGTGAAATACAAATAGTTGTAAAAAGTCAGTGAGTTTTACATTAATTATGAAAAACATAAGTTATTCCGTACTTTCCTTCCTTACATATAGATGATGCCTCGTAATTTTTTGTGAATTTCCCCTTTAGAGAAATAATATTTTAGTGTTGTAACATTTTTTTCCAAATTATAAGAATGTTGCATTGTGTCCATTGGTTAGAGCATGCAAAACACAAATTATTTTGTACACATGTGTATTAAAACGTTTGCATGGCTACAGAAAAACAGTAAACTGTTGTCGTTTGCTTGTTCATGGATATTTTTCAATCAAATTGGGGAAAAATATTTTATAGTATGGTACCTAAAACCCTTAACATATAAATGAGGAATGAATTTAAAGAAATATTTGATTTTAAAAATCTAATCAGAAAAATTAAAATTTGCTTAGTCTGCAGGTTATTGGTAATGTAAAATTCTTAAGTATAAGATTTATAAGTGCTGGATTGAGGTCTTTTGTATTCAATTAATAGTAATCATACTGTTTGTTTATTTTCCAGATTTTGAAGAAATTTGTATAAGGAATCAAAATATTATCAAGAATTACCTTCGACAAATTTTGGGAGAATGTGCTACACTTAATGACAAACTCTCCCAGTTGCATCAGCAACGAGGCACAACAGCTGCTATCGAAGAGGAATCGGTGCTCCCGACCAACCTCCCGATAACTGATCTGGAAGAACTGCTGGCCTTAGAAGATGCTCTAGAGAGCAAAGCCGTCGAGACTGATGTGGTAGGAAACTGAGTATTTATTTTAAAATCAGAAGTGATACAAGGTCTACTTGCTTGGTTATCTCTGACTAACAAGTAAATCAATTCACCTAAACAAATTGCAATGGATTTCATAATAGCTAGTGTATGACTAGCAGCGTTGCCAACACAACTTGTTCTTTTTACCTGCAAAATCCGGTGGTAATCCACAGAATCGAGTCCTGAATGCCCAGAAAATCCCCTGAATTCTAATTTTAAAGATTTTGGCCAACTTAATGGTAAAAACCGCATTGTAACCACGTTGTAGTGGTGCATTGAGAGAGTTATTAATAGGCATATTTATATCATTCTTATATTGAGCAAAACAATGTTAATCGTCAATTGAAGATTTGGCGCACATACCTAATAGCTTTGACTAAAAATACAGCTTCAGTATCCAATAGTCAATGCTAAGCTAATACAAGAGTTTACCTTCTGACTTCAAATTAATGTTAACAGATAAGTTAGTTGTTTTACTATAACAAATTTCACAAGTGATTTCATTTTTAACATAACTGTATATCTTGTCGATTGTACAAAGTTTTTTATTTTGTTTTATTTTATTTTTCAGGTTAATTATCTTGCTCGGATGGGCGGCTCAAATATGGCAGATGCTTGCAGAAGAGCACTGCGATCAGCAATTTTGGACGCAGTTGCCTGTCAATATAGTTGGGCTGGGCAGAAGGGGGAAAAATATTCAGCACTCTGCGACTGAAAACTGTTATTTTCAGTAAGTCTAAACTATACTTTTCAATTTTTAATAGTATATTTCATAACAAGAGTGGAAAGAGGGGTTTTGCATGTTCAAGACCATTTGTTTAGGCCTACTTCAAATAGTCGAGAACATGCAAAACACTTCCTCTCGAGTTTGAAAGATACTTTTCACTACACTACGGAATAACGAGTTATTGTTTATGATTAGATAATATTATTTGGTTAAACAAATTTTTAAATTACTGAAATAACAAGAAACAAATTGTAAACAAAACACGACCTCTGCAGTACACTGTACAGAACTAACAATAAAATTGTCTATGGCTGTTCCATAAGGATGAAAAATCTACTGAGGGAGTAACTTTGTGCTTTAAATCCCATTTCTTTACACCCAAGATGACAAACAGTTAACCACTGGCACCAGAAGGTATACTATAAAATATAACCACTTCACCCACAGCAAACAAAGTAACTGTTACAAGTGCATACCATCGGTAGATTTACTCGACTCTGCCTTGGTAGTTGGGGGGTTTTTGGAGAAGAGTGCTAACTGATGTAATCTATATTTTGTGCAAAAAACTGTTTAATTTGCTTTCAATATTTTTAATCATAATTTTGTACCAGTAACTGGCTCTCTTCTACACAAACAAAACTTCAATAAAGTTCTTCAGGAATGAAATGTGGAAAATTTACGCCAGTTTATTTAAAAACTGTTTGACCAATTCGTAGAAATGTCGTTAGTTCATAAGCTAGTATTTCACCTTTAATTGTTACGTTAGCTAATATGTTGATTAATTACGTTGATAACATTCCCATGTTAATTAGGAGCTGTCCTGAAGCAATTTCCCGATGCTAAGGAAAAAGAAATGGAAAGGGTGGTGAAGGATTGGCTGAGGCCTTCAAAAAATCGCCTTCTTAGCAAGGAAAAATCAAGGTACGCAGAAATTTGAGTTTTCTCAGTTCATTTTTAAGAAGGTCTATTGTTTCATTAAAATGGCTCACTGACGAGTATGTAACCACCTATTTGGAACACTGACGAGTATGTAACCACCTATTTGGAACACTGACGAGTATGTAACCACCTATTTGGAACACTGACGAGTATGTACCCACCTATTTGGAACACTGACGAGTATGTACCCACCTATTTGGAACACTGACGAGTATGTAACCACCTATTTGGCTCACTGACGAGTATGTAACCACCTATTTGGAACACTGACGAGTATGTAACCACCTATTTGGCTCACTGACGAGTATGTAACCACCTATTTGGAACACTGACGAGTATGTAACCACCTATTTGGAACACTGACGAGTATGTACCCACCTATTTGGAACACTGACGAGTATGTACCCACCTATTTGGAACACTGACGAGTATGTAACCACCTATTTGGCTCACTGACGAGTATGTAACCACCTATTTGGAACACTGACGAGTATGTAACCACCTATTTGGAACACTGACGAGTATGTACCCACCTATTTGGAAGCAAAGCCCTGTCTGTAGCCATTAGTTTTGGAAATTCCAAAAAGAGGCATATTAATAAGAGCGCAAAATATTTCATTTACATGGCAAAACATTAATACCCCATTTGGATAACTGATTTTTACAATAAAAGGTTTAAATTTAGATTCTAGTTAGTTGACTACAGCTGTTTCATGTTGTTATAAACATAAAAAAGCTGTAGTCAACTAACTACAATTTAGGATCATTGACGGATACAGGTAAATTAAACCTTTTATTGTAAAATATGCGTCAAACAACAATCAAACACTTTCTATCCTAAGCTTGAGTATAGTCTGGTGCGTTATTTTGCTGAATCTACGATGATGTCTTACAAAATCATAAGGGTTTGCTCCAAAAATAAATTACAAGAGAAAATAGCTCATCTCAAATAGTTCTTAAAATACAAGCAATTGTATTTTATTACATTTTATGTGAGTTGCTGTAGTTGAATTATTTCAATAATAATATCTATGGTTCTTACCGTCAACGCAATCAGGGGTGATATTCTACTATGGCCGTTTTGTAGTTTAGTGTACCACTACACACCTGACGATGGAGTTATTTCCGAAACGGCCGTAGTGGAATATCACCCCCGATTGTGTTTACGGTAAGAACCATAGATATTATTATTATGTTTTCACGCAATCTGCCACACTCAAGAATATAATTATTTTAATTAGCAATCAAATATTAATTTCTTAATAATTTGTTTCTAGAAAAAGGGGACCAGAAGGGGACGAGGTCCAAGATGATGTCGATCAGGAAAAAACCAAGGAGTTGGACTAAGGATATTCCATATACATATTTCTGTCATTTGTACTATGGTTTTTATTATTTCACTTATATATTTCTGTCAATATACATTTTTTTTTAAGTGTGCATTATTTTATTTAATACCTCAATCTGTCAAATGACTTACTAAATCATATTTGATGACTTTAATGGGTAATTCGATCAAATAGACCTACCACTTAGTTTCAAGACACCTCTTTTGTGACTTTTCAATTAATTTTATTATGATAAGTAAATACATTTTCCTTTCAATGGCATATATATTTAATATTTTACTTTTACAGTCTGAAACAAAAAATACTATGCCATTAATCAATGTGCTTGCTTTAAGATTAATGAATGGGTTATGCCTTCTATATCCATGAATTTTATATTTTTACAATTTATTAGTAGGAATGTGTGTACCAAACATTTAATGAAAATTAAATATTTTTTGTATAGCAACAAGTATCATTAAACGTTTGGGCCCTTGGGCCAACTGAAAACTTTTTTTTTGATTATGTGTGATATTGTGATTAATTGATTTTGTTTTCTGGACTTATTGAGATTTTTAGACTTATTGAGGACGTTTAAATTTCCTGAAAGTTTTAAAAACAATTCTTAATATAATTGTTTACAAAACATGAAAGTTGTATGACTATGGTTAGAAAATAAAACGATAAATGTTTTGAACACGTTTTTATTAGGTGAAAAATGTAAAAAATGTAAAAGCAGGATCGTTTTAAAAACGAAAATATTAAGTGAATAATGTGAAAATGTTGTATTGTAAAAACGAAAATTTCACGTTTTATTTTCGCGTTATTTTTACGTGAAAAGTTGTGAAATTTTCACGTTATTTTCGCACGATAATAACGTGATTTTTCCCATTTTTATAAATCAAAATAACGTGAAAATGTAAAATGAAAAACGTTTTTTTCACGTGAAAATAACGTTTTTGTGCTATCTGGGTTGGGTACCTGCTGGACTATGGCTTTTTGTGGGCCACTCCTCGGTCCTATCTGCACATGGAATCACGCTTCCAAGTCGTTGGCCTGGGTGGGGGCACGAGGCGGTGGCTCAGATGGTAGCAGAGCGTGGTTTTTGTTTGTGGTATGGTGGCCGTGTTGTGGACCTTGCGGTTTCACGACTGGGTGACTTAGAGTTCCGATCACTGTCCACGTTCTGATTTGTTTTTGAAAGACCGTGGATGGATTGTGCTCTAGGAAAGTTCGGGCCTGGCAGTTTTGGGGAAGGTTCTTGTTGTTTTTGTTGTTGTTGTTGTTGTTGTGGTGGGGGGTAAACACAATTTTATTCGGAGCTCGCCCTTTAGCCGAGGCACCGGTTAGAATCTGTGGTAATGACTGAGTATTTTAATGGTTTATTACAGCGTGTTTCTCTCAAATGGCTCGGCATACGATACAAATACTACCTAGGGGATGGTGACTGTAAGGGGGTGACGTGAAAATAACGTTTTTGTGCTATCTGGGTTGGGTACCTGCTGGACTATGGCTTTTTGTGGGCCACTCCTCGGTCCTATCTGCACATGGAATCACGCTTCCAAGTCGTTGGCCTGGGTGGGGGCACGAGGCGGTGGCTCAGATGGTAGCAGAGCGTGGTTTTTGTTTGTGGTATGGTGGCCGTGTTGTGGACCTTGCGGTTTCACGACTGGGTTACTTAGAGTTCCGATCACTGTCCACGTTCTGATTTGTTTTTGAAAGACCGTGGATGGATTGTGCTCTAGGAAAGTTCGGGCCTGGCAGTTTTGGGGAAGGTTCTTGTTGTTTTTGTTGTTGTTGTTGTTGTTGTGGTGGGGGGTAAACACAATTTTATTCGGAGCTCGCCCTTTAGCCGAGGCACCGGTTAGAATCTGTGGTAATGACTGAGTATTTTAATGGTTTATTACAGCGTGTTTCTCTCAAATGGCTCGGCATACGATACAAATACTACCTAGGGGATGGTGACTGTAAGGGGTTTGATATAATTTGTAATGAAAAGCCTTATGGTGATAATTTTGAAGTAGAGAAACTGGAATGTGTGGGGCACGTCCAGAAACGGATGGGGTCTTGCCTCAGAACGTTCAAGAATAAAAATCTCTGCCAAAGAACTGACAGATGGAAAAACAATGGAGGCCGTGGGCGATTGTCAGTGCCCATCATCAACAACATTCAACTTTACTATGACCTTGCAATTAGAAGAAATGCAGACAAAGGGGTCAGAGACATGCAAAAAGCTATATGGCAAACATATTTCCACTTAGGTTTCACCGACTAAAAACCTCAACACAATCTTTGCCCTCAGGATGACAATACCTGGTGCAAATATCAGAAATCCAAACAAGATAGAACTGTTTATGTACACAAGGAACAGACTCACCTGCCTTTCACTATTTTGCAAGAAATAAAGCCTTTGTTTCAAGACCTATCAAACCATGTACTCTTAGCAAAATGCAAACTTGGCGGTACTCAGAATGTATGCGAGTCTTTGAATAACATAATCTGGAGCAGAATTCTAAAAAAGGTATTTGTTAGGCTAGAAACATTAAAATTAGGTGTTTATGAGGCTATTGGTTGCTACAATAAAGGATGTGTAGCTAAGTGTTTGGTGTTTAAAGTGCTAGGCTTAAATCATGGTAAAAACTGTGTCGCGGTAATGAAACTCAAGGATGCCACTCGGGTTCGGAAAGCAAGCCCTTGAAGAAATTGCTAAAAGTGTAGGCAGGCAAACACCTTGAAGAGGAAGGTGTTATAGAAAATTTTTGAAGAGGGTGAAGATGTGGACAATCATTCTCTTGCCCCAGGCCACTAATGGTATGTAAGTAACAAATAAACTTGATTCATTTTGCGATTCTCCGAAAGTTTTGTTTATACTTATGTACCTTTTACTCAGAAAGTATTACAGATACAGTAATGAAATGTTTTACACACATTCTTAGGCATGTAATACACATTTAGATAAGAGATTAAATAAATCTCTAAATATGTTGTTGTTATTTTATTTTGTCTTAACTAATAATAGAAATGATGAGGTACATGTGTTATTGAATACAATGTTTAATGGTAAATAAGTGGTTACGAAAATTCTCGAAAAGTGGGGATTCGTGCTGACTGAATCAATAGATTTCTTTGAATTTATAAAAGGTAATAAGTTAAGATGTAGATTGAATAATAATTTGGAAACGATATTTTAGTTAGATGATTAATTTTTCTTTTCTTTTGTTAATATTTGAAATGTAGAGGTAGTTTTAGTCCCAAAATGGATCCTGGATAGGTCGATAGTTTGAGTTAATAATAAATGGAATGTTCTCACCAATCTTCTATAATAATAATTTTCTTCTGAATAATGTAGGCCTAAATTCCTCTTTCTTCAGTTAATTTGGATATTTTGACAAGACATCATTTTTTTATTTCACAATTTATTTCACAACTAATAGTTTCTGTTTGTTCTTCTTTGGAGACCTTAACTGCACTCTCACTGTTCTTTGTTGAAAATCATTTCTTAAATTATGGGGTTCATATAAATAAAAACATGGTTGAATTTTATTGATAATCTTGAACGCAGATGCACTGTATTTTAAATTGAGGAATTGTTTTGAATGATAATTTTGAATAAGCCAATAAATAATTTTTGATTATAAATTATATATATGTTGAGACAATATGGTTTTACTAATAATTACAATGAACGTGAATAAATATTAAAATATAACAAGATTTAGTTTGGAATGTAATTAGGCCTAATGACTATATTTAAAAAATATTAGTTTTTGAGTCTGTACTTTTTTGGTGAAAAAAGATTTTTTGATTTTTATCTTAAACTCCAGCTTTGCATTGAAGATGCAATCAAAGAAACGGTAAACGTAAGCCACTTAATGGCGATGTGTAGGGCTATTGTAGGCCACTACTCAAGAAGCTCTACAGCTAAGTTGCAAGCAGAACAATTGAAGCTCGGCAACAAGGCCATGTCCCATCAAGATGGAACAGCCAGTTTTTTTATGCTGGAAAGGCTAATAACATATCGAAATGCGATAAACTGGGAGCTTGGGACTTCTGACACCAAAGTAAACCCTCTTAACGGAACTTAAGGGGTATTGGCTGAAAATGTGTTGAAGGTTTTTGAGAACTGTGTGGAGGCCACACAGTTTGCTAGTGGGGATATCTCCACTATTTATGGGGTTTAACCTATGCTGTATGTATTTGAAAAAAGTGTATGGCCGAATTGAGGAGAAAGGTAGACTCATCCAGTTTGGCCAATGCAAAAAAGCATATGAAAACACAATTCGGGCCAATGGAATCAAATTCGATTTATTTTATATCAACGCTTATTGACCCAAAATACAAGCTACAAGGGCTAAAAGAGAATCTCTAAACGTCAGCGCAGCTCCAATTGAAGAAAGAAATGCAAAATTTATCTGCACAGACAGAAAAAGACAGGTCAGTAGAGAACCATAGAGAAGTAGCAAGTTGCACGTCATCAGGTATCTTTCAATTTCTTAATGAAGAGCCTCTAAGTGGACCGAGCAAGGAGGATGATGTCGAAATGGAACTTAACATGTTTCTGAGAGCACCAAGAATAAAACACAACGAAGACTCTCTAACTTGGTGGAGGAATAATTGCAATAATTACCCAAGGATTGCAAAAGTTGCCCTTAAATATCTTGGTATTCCTGCAACATCTGTTCCAAGTGATAGGCTGTTTTCTTCTGCGGGAAATGTGTTTAGCTCTGAAAGGAAAGAATTGCCCTCGGAACATGCAGGGCAAATTGTAGTACTCCACGACAACATAAAACATAAGTAAATGAAGTTTTTACCAGGCCTAACGTTAAAAGGACTTAACATGATTGTGTATTTAAAATATTTTTGACCACCAAGAAAGGGTTAAGTAAGCCGCTGTTTTGGTAAGTTTCTGTTGGAGAGTTTATATTACAAGTACCTATTTCAAGTAATTTTATTATATCCATCTCAAAACTGCTGTTCTTCAAGGGTTGTATTTACATATATTTTTGACTATTTATTATTAT